AAAATTTCATTTTTATTACAAAAAATCCAAATTCCCTATCAAATTTTCACTTTCATTTCGATTCCAATATTTTTAGTTTTACTCAAAAAAATTCCCATTTTCACAAAGAAAAATATTAAGTTCACTCAGAAAATTTATTTTCCTTAAAAAATTTCTTTTTTATTTAAAAAATTTTACATTCGCTAAAAAGTTTTCAGTTTTCACTGTCACTTTAACTCAAATATTTCTATTTTTATTCAAAAAATTGACACTTTCATCCAAAAAATTCTCACTTTTACTAAAAAAAAATTTATTTCCCCCAAAAAAATTGTCAATTTCGATCAAAAAATTTTCGCTTTTATTAAAAATATTTCACATTCCCTAAAAAAGTTTTCACTTTTATTTTTACTCAAAAATTCCCACTTTCACTTTAATAATGTTCACTTTGATCCAAATTCCAAAATAATTTTCAGTTTTACCTGAAAAAAATTTGAAAACTAATATAATAAATTAAATTAATACCTAATAAATTTAATTAAATAAATATAAGGCGTTTGATTAAATAAATTTTAAAATAAAATCCATTCTCAAATCTAATTATTTTATTATTTTTCGTCAATCCTGTTTTTCAATTGATAATTAATTATTCCTTGTAATATGTTTAAAACTTTTAAATTTTGTCAAAGTTAATAAATTTTTGTTCAAAAATTGAAAAAAAGTTTTTCTTTACATTGTAAAATGAAAATACAAAAGTAAATGCGCTCTAATTAGGTCTCGTCATTTATTTTTAATGTGAAACTTAATAATTTATTGCATATCGATCCTAGAAAAGGGATTTCTGTTTGTCAAAGTCATTAATAATCGATGGTGAATGTAAATGTAAACTTAAATGAGAAGCATGTGGGTCAAAGAACGAGTTCGCGAACTAGAAATGCTTTTGCGATCAACAGACTCGATGACGTCGTGACGTGACGCTCGAAACTATTCTTAGCACCACCGACGCATTCAATTTATCGTAAAAATAGAAATATATTTAATGTCAATGATAATTGTGATGTGATAACCAATAAAAAAAAGACCCAGTTTCCCTTTATTCCTATAATTTTTATAATTGAAGTTTGTACAATTTTTTTTTCCTTTTCACTGTTAAAAATAATACTCTCGTCGTAAATAAGAAAATATTTAGTTTCAAAAATATTTTTAAATTAAATAAATAAATAATTTATTAAAATAATATCTAAATAATAAATTAAATAATAAACAGAATGCAGAGGATGGAAAAAAATCCTACAAAAGAATGATGAAAAATTTATAAGGATATTAAAATTTTTCAATTCGAATTGAGCTTCTGAATGTATCGATTCAAAACGTTTCGTGGCAGCTTATCGAAACTTTGTCTGTACTCCTGTCTTGCTGTGAGCAAATCCAAACGATACGAATTTCCAGGAAAAATGCTCTACATTTCAAGAATCATTTATAAAAGTTTTCCAGAATTGTCTTGAATTTTGAATTTCCTTTCCCTTGTTCGCATTTATCAAAGATTTCAAAGGTGAAACAATTTCAGTTAAATTTTTGCTTTTTCAATTTTTTTATTTCACGTATTTATTTTTATGTAAATTTTTATTTACTTTATGCTATTATTTATAATAATATAAATAATAATATTAATAAATAATAATATTAATTAGCAATAATTCGCAACAAACTTTTTAGAATAAAATTAGCAATTTTAAAAATAATAGAATTTAAAAATTTACAATTCAAATTATTATTGCAAACATAAAAAAAATTCAATTTTGTAAAAATTACAAATAATTGCAGAAATTCAATTATTTTCAAGAGTGATAAAATTCTTCTCATAAAATTCAATTATCTTTCAAATTTAGAAAAAAAACTCGTCAAAATCCCAATTATCTTTATAAATAACAAAATTCTTCCCCAAAGTTCAATTATTTGCAAATCAATTTCAAATTCCCAAAAATAGTACGCAAACATTTAATTATTTTCATAAATAATTAAAATTGCTCAGGAATTCAATTATTTACAAATTTTTTATAAATTCCTTTGCAATTATTCAATTATTTTTATAAATAATAAAATTTTTTTTAACAAATTCAATTATTTTTATAAAAAAAAAAAAATTTATTAAAAAATAATTAAAAATTGTAGAAAATAATAATTGATTTGAAATGATGAAAATAATTTTGAAAAAGTTACTGTAATAATATTCTTATAATACAAAACAAATGATTTTATCACTTGATCATCTTTAATTATTAATTATTATAAAACATGAAGATATCGATCACTCCGAGTCTTCGACTCGGAGCAATCGCTGTCTTTATGTTTTACAAAAAATATTCTTATAAATTATTGATTTTAAAAAGATTTGAAATTCAATGTTTTCAAAAATTTTTATTCCTACGGAAAAATAATATTTAAATATTTATTTAAAAAAAAGTTATTGATGTTTTTGAATAATTTTTACAAATTAAAAAAATTCGTAAATAAATGTAACAGAACATTTTTTTGAGTAAAATTTTTTCCTTTCTTTTCTAAAAATTTAAAAAGTTTCAATTTCATTTTCAATTAAAAGTTTGTAATTGACAAATAGAATAGAATATGTAATGTTTCTTTTCCAAAAGAAAAGAATGAGTTTCTGAATAATATTGTTATTGAGAAATATAAAGTACACATAAAATTTTCTATTTCTTATTTATAATTTTACATTATGTTAGTTACTTTATTTTATTTACTTTATTCTATTTGCTTTATTTTATTTACTTTATTTATTTGCTTTACTTAAATTGTTTTATTTTATTTGCTTTATTTTATTTGTTTTATTTTATTTGCTTTATTTTATTTGCTTTATTTTATTAGTTTTATTTTATTCACTTCATTTTATTTTTTATTTTTATTAAACCAAAGAAAAAATTATTTAAAACTCTTTTTTTCTCGAACTGAAAGAAAATATTAGAAAATACTAATATTCTATAGTCATTGAGATAATCTAGAACAAAGGATCCATTCTATTTGTTATTTTGTTTTCTGATTTTTAATTAACAGCCACTTTCTCGTCCAAGTGCAGACAAATTTAAGTACATTTACCTGTAATTAAAAAAATTTAATTAATTCAAGTCTATACTTGAAATGAATACACTAGAAAACAATTTTTATTTAAATTTTTCCCCTAGAAATTTGCGTTTAAATAATATTTTTTTATTCTTAAAAATTCGATCTATTGGGAATTCAAACTATAATCAGGTTTGACGGTCCCCTTTGTTTACAAATTTTTAGAGAAAATGAAAAAGAATTTGTTGAATTTTTGTATTTAAAATATATTTTTATTACCCTCGACGCATTCATAGGAACAGCATTGATTTGGTACTCGACATTGAATATCTTTTGGACGGCACACAGCATTAGCTACAGATGCAGTGAGATAATTCACACAAAATACGACAAATATAATTCCAAATTTATTCATTTTTAAATTTTTTCTCCTCCTTTTTTCTTATTTTTTCTTTTCTTTTTTCTTTTTTTTCTTTTTTTCTTTCCTTTTCTTTTCTCTCTATTTTTTCTTTAACAATTAAAACTTCTTTAAATCGATATTTATTTCTTGAAATATCATACGACAGTGTATACAAAACAACACCTGCGCTAATGCAATTTCTGATTATTTTTTTCTTATCACCAAGATAAGAAAATTCAAACATTTCCTTGTTTTTAAAAATAAAAGTATAAACAAATGTTTATTTTCCACACAATGAGGATATTTTTTTTGGCATTTTTATAAAAACTTTCTGAAAGTTAGTTAATTTTTATTTTATAAAAACTTTCCAGTTCGTGTAAAATAAACTAAAAGTTAATCTATTAGCCTCATGTAACTTTAGTTCACATATTTGTTTTATATAGAAATTAATGGCTATTTCGCGTATTCAGAGTATAAAATCAATTTTGTTAATAACCGCATGACAGTCAATTTACAAATTTATATCCTAACGGGCAAAGTGTCATTAAAAACCATTAGTATACATGTTTCATTAAATTGAAATGTTTTAAAAAAACTTTCAAATGTATTATATAGACATTAATTTTATTGTAAATATTATTATATTTTAACAGAATATTTAACGTATGAATGACTTTATAATGTGATATCTATATACAATGGGGGTCGATTATGTAATTTTATTTTGTCCTTCACTTCCATTTTCACTTCCATTTTCACTTTCATTTTCTCTTTCGAGTATTTTCATTTTTATTTTTTAAGATTTTCATTTTTCCGTTTATTGTTCTTTTTTTACAGTTTTTTAGTTCTTCTTTTACTTTTTTTTTTCTTTTTTGCAATTTTTCTTTCATTTTTTTTTCAATTTCATTTTCACTATAGATATGAATATGAAAGTGAAAATGAAAATTAGACAAAGTGTAGAGATTTTATTTCTGGAAATTTCACTTTTACTCAAATATTTCGAGATTTTCACTTTCATTTTCATTTCCATTTTCATTTCCACTTCAATAGTTCATTTTTTACTTTCATTTTACATTTGAATATAAATGTGAAAGTGGTAATTTTTTAAAACATAAATGAAAATGAAAATGAAAATGAAAATGAAAATGAAAATGAAAATGAAAATGAAAATGAAAATGAAAATGAAAATGAAAAGAAATTACATAATAAAACCCCTGTTTTTTGTTTTAAAAAATAAACACAGAAAAATCTTCGAACTTTTTGACAAAGTGAATAATTCCGGGATATTTCGAAAAAATTTAATCATAATCATTACAAAAAATTATTATAAATGAATTACTCTCAAAAAAATTCTACTCTACAAAATATCGCTTTATTATCGTATAATGAGATTATAAATTTTCCCCAAAAGCGGATGTAATTATATGGTGTACACTTATTATTATTATTATTATTATTTTGTAGACAAAGAAAATGATTGCATTATAATAAAATGGAAAATTATTAAAGAAAAAGGATAAACACGATACGGTCTTCTTTTATGTTTCAGAGTTCGTGTTGAGTATTACGTGAATGAGAATACATTCAAGGAACGCCTTCAACTCTACTTCATCAAGAACCAACGCTCGAGTAAGTTAATTACCAGCAGTATCCTTGCATTGAAAGCGTGAATGGGACATGAAAACGAGTAAAATGTGCATATTGTATAGTTTCCCTTCAACCTTCTCTAACATATTTATAAGAAAAAGATAAGTTTCTCCAAGTCGCATTCACGATATTAGTACGTCATGATGTTTAAGTTAAATTAATGAATAATATTTTCTAAACTCTGTAATCTAAATTTTTTTTCGTATTTTTTCGTATTTCGGAAAAAGTATCTAACGAAAAGTCTATAATTTTGGCAAAATTTCTTCCTGCATTCGATTTTTTCAATTTATGATTTTTCATCTCTTATGGTGGGTGAAGAAAATACAAAAATTTTACTTTGGCTTATTGTGAACTCTTCTTCCTGAATTTAACTTTTTTTTTTGATTCGTTTTGTTTGCGGAGGTTTTTTCGTCTCCTTCTTAGTCTCTTTGGTGCAGATACACAATTGAGGAGGTGCTCCTTATGTCACCAGTGCAAAGGAGTAAATTAATTAGATTACTCTTCACTTTTCTCTGTATTCTTTTTATTATAACTGATTTATTATTATTTATTTTATTTACTTTCTATAATAATAACTGATTATTATTATTACTTATTATAATTATGATTATTATTATTATTTATTTTTTATTATAATAACAGATTTACTATTATTTATTTTTTATAATAATTACTAATTTATTATTATTTATTTTTTATTATAATAACAGATTTATTAATATTTATTTTTTCTTATAACAATTGAATGATTCCTATTTAATATTTATAGATGAATAAAACTAGACAAATTCTTCATCCCGGAATTAGGATAAATTGTAAATTGATCATAATATTCAATTGCAGAATATGCTAATAGCCATTAACATTAATTAAATTTGAAAATTATAATCTAAAACTGAAGACAAAGTTAAAAAATTTTTAACTTATATAAAATTGAGGTGGAAAAATTTTTAAAATGCATATAATGATGGAAAAAATTTTGTACTTTCTGACACTAATTAAAAAAAAATTTAAGAGTTTAAAAAATCCTACAAATTTAGTTTTCTTATGTATAAAAAAATTGTTTAGTTAAAAAGGTTTAAAAAGGCTTCGGAGATGAAATTATTTTAGCTATTGCATAAATTCATTTGAATAAATTTATTTAATTTTTTTTTTGAATGATAAGTAAATTTTTATTTTGAAAATGGTTAATATTTATTAGAGAGTAGATTTTATGAAATTAATTAGGACATAAAAATTGTTATTTTCGTGTTGAAATCCTCCTCGTTGAAAGTTCTGTCTGACCGTACATTTACTTCTACTACTTTCACTATTATTATAGAGTTTAAAGACCGATTTCTTCAAGTGCCTCTTTCTTTATTTGCAATTTTTCTTCAATTCAATTCTAATCAAAAAAATTTTCACATTCACACAAAAAATTTTCACTTTTACATTCACTGCAAAAAAAATTTACTTTGATTCAAAAAAGTCTCAAATATTTCTATTTTTACTCAAAAAATTATCACTTTAAGTAAAAAAAAAAAATAACTTCACTCAACAAAATTTATTTTTCATAAAAAATTTTCTATAAAGAAATTTCTCTCTTATTTTAAAAAAATTCCACATTCGCTAAAAAGTTTTCACTAGCATTTTCACTCAAACATTTCTATTTTTATTTAAAAAAATTGTTACTTTCACTCAAAAGATTCTCACTTTCACTAAAAAAAAATATTAATTTCACTCAAAAAAATTTATTTTCCCCCAAAAAATTGTCAATTTCAATCAAATAATTTTCGCTTGTATTAAAAAAATTTCACATTTCCTACATAAGTTTTCACATTCACTTTGACTCAAATATTTTTATTTTTAGTCAAAAAATTCTCACTTTCACTAAAAAAAAAAAATATTAACTTGACTCAAAAAAATTTATTTTCCCTAAAAAATTTTCAATTTTGATAAAAAAAATTTCTCTCTTATTTAAAAAATTCTATATATTTGCTAAAAAGTTTTCACTGTCACTTTGACTCAAATATTTCTATTTTTATTCAAAATTTGTTATTTTCATTAAAAAAATGCTCACTTTCACTCAAATAATGTTCACTTTGACCCAAATTATTTTCATTTTCACTTCAAAAAAATGTTGAATTTTGAAGTGAAAGTAAAATTTTTTTCAGTGACACTGGGAATTTTTGGGTGAATTAAAATTTGAATTTTTTAAATTGAAATTGAAATTTAAAAAAAAGAGGGAATTATGAAAGTGAAAAATTTTGTAATGAAAGTTTTTTGTTTCAATTTGATATCCTTAAAAAAACTGTGATAAAAACATTTCATCTTTGCTTAAATATTAAAAATTATATTTTCAAACAAGAGGAAAGAATAAAAGTCGCTTAAAAATGTCTCTTTAAATCAAACAATGAACATTTAGAAATTACGTCAGATTTCTTTTAATTCTCGCACTGCCTTAATTAAACTTCCACGACAATATTGCGAATTGACTACTTGAATATAAGAGGAAAAAAGAATATTTTCTTTTGTTTTCAAATGTTGACTGGCTTTTATAATTCTCTTTCATTATGAAAATGAATCTTCAATCTTTTTTTTTAATGTAATTTATTTGTTTTTGCATTTTTAATTTCCAACAACTGGATGTATCCAAGTTCTCGGGTTTTAAAAAAGAAACAGTTATTATAAAAATAGAATTATTTTACAAAGAATTATTCTTTTTAAAAAAACAATTTTCAATTATTCAAGTTATAAAAATTGTGATGAATATATCATTATTCATATTTCAATAAGTAACATTTGAACAAATTTTCCATGCAAATAATCAAATTAAAGTGAAAATATATTGAAAATTACCATTTATTGATGAAATTGTTAATTATTTAACTGATAATGAAATATTATCGAATTCAGGTTATACATGACACATTTCGTGTATTTTTGTATAGTTACTGACCGATGAATCTTGCGAATATATTTTTGTTATTAATATCTCTTTTATATTTAATTTTATTTTTTTGGGAAAAAGGAGAAAAAACATTTTGTTCTTTTCACTATTTTCATTTGAATTTTCTTTTAATTCTGGACAATAAATTATTATAAGTGTAATTTTTTCAACTTTTTTCCACTTTTCCATTCGTTATTTTTAATTCCCTCGAAACCAAAGTTTCAAGCTACTAATACAAAATACCCACTAAAGCTGACTTTTTGTTTTGCTATTTGCCCAGCCGAAACCTAAGCTTGGAATTGAGTTCCGAACTCAGCTGTAACTGGAGACTCGGGGAGAAATTTATACTCTCCTACTTTGCAATAATCGACTTTTTCGGATTGATCACGTGATCAATTGATCAAAGAATTCTTTTTTTTTTTGGTTTTTTGCTAATACTTTTTGTAAATATATGTAATAAAAATAAAATAATTCAATTATTTTTAATACAATTTTAAGTAAATTCTTCGTAAAATGTAATTTTTCTTAAAAATTTTATTAAAAGATTGCTACTAAAAAATTGATTTTGGGAGAAATTACAAATGATTTCAGAAATTCAATTATTTTAAAAATTAAAAAAATTCTTGGCAAGAATTTGAATTACGTTCAAAAATTGAAAAAAATTCATTTTAAAAATTTCAATTATCTTTATATATAATTAAATTTTTCTACGAAATTCAATTATTTTTAAAAAATTTAATATTAATTCTTGCGGCAAAATTTCAATTATATTCAAAAATTGTTCTCAATTCGATTATTTTCAATATTTACTATTAATTTTTAACATTTACCAAAAGAATTCAATTATTTAAAAAAATATTTTCAAAAATTCAGAAATTCTTCGCAAATATTCAATTATTTTTGTAAATAATCAAAATTTTACAGGAATTCAATTATTTACAATTTTTTTAAAAGCTTCTTCGCAATTATTCAATTATTTTCATAAATAGCAAAATGTTTTACAGGAATTCAATTATTTTCAAAAATAATAAATCTCGTCTTTTTTTTTTCGTCGCAAAATTTTAATTATTTATAATGCAATTTTAATCAAATTCCTCGAAAAATGTAATGATTCATAAAATTTTTTTAAAAATTCGTCAAAAGAATTGAATTATTTAAATATTTTCAAATATTTTTAAAAAATCTACTATTTTAATGAAATATTTTAAATGAATTCAATGTTTAAAAAAAATGTAATAAAACGCGTTGCAAGAATTCAATTATTTTCATAAATAATACAATTTTTTACAGAATTTCAATTATTTAAATAAAATGTAATAAAAATTCTTTACAAGAATTCAATTATTTTCCTAAATTATAAAATTCTTCACAGGATTTCAATCATTTTTAATACAATTTTCAGTAAATTCTTCTAAATGTGTAATTAGTTTCAAAAATATTCCTAAATCAATTATTATTTAAAATTCATGCTATAATGCTTTTGATATTCAATTATTGTGTAAAATCTTAACTGAAATTCATATTTAAATCAATTTTTATTAGAAAATTCTACGAGAATTCAATTATTTAATTACAAAAATAAATAAATTATTGAATAAATTAATGTTTTTAAAAATTGAATCCTCATAAAGAATTTAATAAACAAATTTTTAAATAATTAAATTTTTTCAACGAATTTTAATGTGTTTGATATTTTTATGTTTGTCAATAATTTAAATTTTCATAAAATTAAAAAAAAATTAAATTATTTCCATAAAATTAAAAAAAAATTAAATTATTTGCAAAAATGTAATAAAATTCGTTACAAGAATTCAATTATTTTTATAAATAATAAAATTCTTCGCAAGAATTCAATTATTTTTACAAGTAATAAAATTTTTTACATGAATTCAATTATTTAACAAAAATGTAATTAAACTTTTTCAAAAAGATTAATTATTATCTAAAATTTTAACTAAAATTCATTTTTAAATCAATTTGGAATTAAAAATTCTACAAGAATTTAATTATTTTAAATAGAAATAAATTTTTCTCAAAATTGAATTCTCTTAAA